CCCCAAGGGCTGTAGGGTGGGGCTCAAAGGAGTCAGTGTGCTAAAATTTCTTCATTTTCCTTGTTAAGAATCAGAGGTGCTAGTTTCAAATCCTTTTTAGTCTGATTCTGTATGCTAGATATTGAATAAGGTGGTTTTATTGTTTTTTGTCACTTTGAATAATATTTCTGTTCATGTTAAAAACAAAATCAACTCTCTGTATAAATATATCAGGTGACCGTTAAGGTCCATGGGCCTCTTGTTCAGTCTTGAACCCTGGACTAGGTAGAGATAGTTTTAAATACTTTCTGTCTCATGTTAATGCTTTGTATGTATATAAAGAGTCTTTGGTGCCACATGTATCGTTCTACACGAGGTTGATATGGGATTCCATTTGTTCTTCAAGATGAAATATTTTACTCTTACAGTTAATGTGTAATTAAATGTTTCTCACAGAAGCAAAACAGTTTGATTGAAAATGTACTGAATAACATTTTCAGAGTAAACAAAATATCCGATTTGTATAATTTATGGTAAACCTAATACAAAATGATGATGGAACATCAATCAATGTAACTATCTACAAATAGCTTGTAGTCTTCACATGTTCAGTTTGTTTTTCCTCAAGCTAAGATAAGGGCAAAAATTGTTATTGAAAAAAATATGTCTTTAATCATGTCATCCATCAAGAGGTCATAAAACATGACCGGTTACTGAGTGCCTCCTCACCTGTGGGAGTGGAACATAAACATGGAATGGGTTCACCCTGTTTTTGTATCAAAATAAACCAAAACATTGGAAGGGACTCCAATTTTTAGGAGATTTTTCACATATTCTTATGTGTAAACTAATCAATCATTTACTTCGGACCTCATTGTGAAAAAGGCTGGCACTGATAAACAGGAGGAGACTTGGACGCTTATGGTAGCAGGACTTCATGAAGAACAATATCATTTGAGTTTTCAATGTTATAACATGAAAGAAAACCTTATAAACCTTTTTTTTATTATGTCGATTTAAAATATAGATTTTGTTCACATTTCAAATAGGTGTAAGTTCAGACATTAAGAAACAATAAAGCAGAATTTGTTCGATTGCATATAGTGTTTGATCAAGATTTTGTACAGATTTTGTATCGCAGGAAAGGATAATCCTGGAACAGATGTCCAAGCAGAACTTAATCCCATATTGATGATTGTCCTATATACAACTCAAGGTGTCATACCTGTGTTATTGACCTGAATAGAGATTGTAGATATATTGAAGTGAGACCTTGCTTTTTTTAAGGGATTAGCAACATGTGGTATTAATATTTAATTTTGCAGACCTTGACCGGGTTGGCTGTTGTTTTATCAATATCTGTCTATAACATTAAAAAGTGGGGAGGGACCATCTAAAGATGGAATATTCTTTGTTCAAATCTGGGATTGTTCCTTTTAATTTGTTAAGTTCTAAGCAATGTTTCAAAAAAAATTGAGAGAGAAAAACTATTTGCAGTTTTGAACAGGAATTACTTAAGACTACAACAGAAGTGATGTAGCTGTATAATCATGTTACCCCTACAATGTGTCTGTTAATATATAAAGAAATAAATCTGATGTTATACATTTTGACTTTGATTCAATGTAATCTATCTTGTGGAAACCTAATGGTGCATCTATTGGGTTTATATCCTATGGGCCTAATTCCTTTGATCTAATAGTGGAGTGAAGTTACCAGAGTTTTTTGTGTATCTCTTGCTCACTTACTGATGAAAATAAACACAAAAACAGCTCTGTAAATAAACTAGTTATTTGGGGGCCACTTGTACTGTACACATGCAGTTTATCAGTCTTGTGCTGTAAGTGTATTCAGATGCTGATACCCTAGCAGCCTGCATTGCTTACAAGACATCTCCACCAATTATAGTTAGATTGATACCAGGTCCTGATGTACAGATGTAAATGTCTGCTTAAATGAGGGAAAAACAAATAGATGTTTGCGCACCTTTGTAGAATTAAAATTAAAGTATTGGATACAGTGATCAGAGTGAAAGCTAACAAGGAATTATTGTGTTTATAAACAGAGAAACAAGATCATTGATTGAAGTTGCAGTTTATTTACATTTAGAGAAAGATTAATCAGTGTTTTGTTTTGAATTACTTTGTTTTCTGGAAAGAAATACCCAGGGAGAGTTACATTAGCAAGATAAATAAATGTTTGATGTTTTTAAACCTATGGCTTAAAATCTTTTAAGCAAAATGTACAGGTTCTGAAGTTTGTTTGTTATTGATATGTATGTTGTTTAAGACTCGGTTAATGATAACATTTTAACTTGACTATTCATTTTTTATTCTGCTGTTATACAGTGCTACAGTATCAACCTTCGGTCTAACCATCATCTTTTCTTTAAAAACTTCTTGAGAACCATAAGATTCAGGGTCATGATATTTGGCTATTAGATTCCTGGGAGAAAGCCAAACATAGTCAGTGAAAAATTGAACATGGCCTGTTTCAACGGTCACAGGGGTCAAATATGGTAAAAAGAAATTCTGTATTACTTCTAAAGAATCAGGAGCAAGTAGCATGCTGGATAGATGTTACAAAGTTTGAGAAGGGAAATTACCTTTATCCATATTCAAGGTGATGGGGGGGGGGGGGGGGGGGGTCAAATTGGTTGAACCACTAAAACAGCATCTTATGAAGAAGAAAAAGGGCGTAGAATCATGATATTCTGTCAGTAGCTTGCTACAAAGATTGCAAACAGAACTGACCTTGACCAATATTCTAGGGCCATATTTGTTGAAGCATTCAAAGAAACTCTTCTGAAAAATGGCTTTGAGTAATGATATCTGGCCAAAATCTTGTTGTTATGGGGTCCTACGAAGTTTGCAAAGCAAAAATAAACCTTTAATTATAGTGATTGTGTTTAACAGCTAAACATGCACAAGACTTGTTCAACTGAAATATAGTTGTAGGTTCAGCACATATTCACATTCAAAATCACCATATACTGTATTTAGAAAAAGCTGATATCTTTTATTTTCTAATTGCTTAACAACAAGATAAGTTATATAGGCCTTCTATGTTTCTCGAAACATAGAAAAATGACTGCATATGAAAATCTTTTACCCAGATTCAATGATAATCAGATCTAGATGTTACTGCTGTGCACCGGTAGTGCTTGACACAGATTATATAAAACTCAAATGTTGCTGCTGTGTTCTTGTAAATAACTTTTTGTTATAAAAAATTGTATAATTCAATGCTGCTGTTGGGCTAATGAGTGTTTTATTGTTATTACAGGAGATGAAATGCCTTGACCCTCCAGTGACTGCAATACTTACCCCACGCAAAGATGAGCCAAAATTTCCATTTCCTGTTCAACAGGTGTGTAGGCAACAACTTTAAACATTTTCAATCTTTTTAATGCATGCTTACTTTCATGAACTTATGTAGGACCATTGCAATGTACCTTTGGATATATGGAGGAAGGACAACAAATACAATGGAAAAAAATAATAGTCGGTGAATTTTGATGAAACGACTAAAATGTAATGGTCTCGTTAATGTTGACAGATCTTCAATAGAGCCATAAACCCTTATTTATGGAAATGAACAAAGGTATTGTATTCTGCATATATTGGCAAGTTTCCGTTGGCCTTGACATGCTATCTAAGGTCACAGAGCAGCCCTACAAGGAAGTCTAGGTGTATCTGGTATCTGGCATCATGTTTTCTAGATCTGTCAATAGAACTAGCTCTGCTTCACCAGACCAAACAATCCCATAACTGCACTGTAATATCCTGAATCTGACATGATTTACATCATTCTCTCTGGCAATACAGCTGATCATCAGGTCCTGTAGGTCTGGTCTGTCCCCTGAATTGTGTCTGAGGTGATCAGTGTAGGCCGCAGGTGTTGATCACTTGTGTTGATTGTCTGTAATCAATATAAACAAATCTAATAAAAGTATATCATTTTCTCCACTTCACTTTGCTTTATGACATTTTAATTTCTTTTTGTGTCTTAATTTTGTTGATTTACACATGCTATTATTTTTTTTTTAAATCTGTTGTTTTGCAGATTGATAACCATGCCATACAGCCGTTCAGGAAAAGTAAGTAGATTTTCATACTGTCAGTTGTAATTCTAATGTGCGACACGGCATCTGACAATCGGAAATTAATAAGACAATAAGATTGGTATAGGATAGAAACCTTACGTGACAAGTGACACACAATTATGGTGAGACTGCATTAGGCACAGACTAGTAATGAATTGTGGATCATACTTTATTTCAATGGTATGAGTAACTGGAGTTTACAATTTTGTTTAGAGGTCCTTTAGAAAACTAAGATATCATTGTAAATCTTAGATGAAATAAATATGACGTTTGTTTTCATGAGAGAATGCTTAACATACTAAAAAAAAAAATATTGACTAGACTAAATGCTATTTACAACAAGACCACTGGAGTCATTTCTATAGTTCCTGTTTAGAGGTTTGCGGTATTGACTGATAGATAATTACTACTAATTAAGTTTTTGTCTGCTATGTCTGGGTTTTCCTGTAAAATTCAGTTTCATCATAAGATTTAGGCTGTAAGAATAAGGTTCCGTTTTAATGTTTTGCGGTAAAGTTTAGCATGTAACATTTAGATTTGATAGTAAGATTTTTTAGTAATATTAGTTAAGGTTACAGTTTTGTCAGTAAGAGAAATTTTATCAGTAAGGTTAAGTTTTTTTCCGTTAGATAAGATTAACAAATTGATTTGACCCGAAAAAGGCCATTAAGGTTTGGCTTTGCTGGTAAAGTTGTGTGAGCCATACAGAGGAAGAGAAAGTAGGCCACCAGGACATTGCCTGTAGACCAGGAACAGATGGGACTAGGACAGGCACACAATCCCATCTCATCTGGCACTGCCTCTCCGTGCCTGCACCACCATGCATGTGTAATGCCGAGGAGCACACTGATTGGCCTGGATGACACCAGCATGGCACACAACACTAATTTGGAGAGCATTCTATTGCTCAAGGTTAGGCTAGTGATGGGAATATTTCTTTATCTAATTATGCATTTGGCAAGAAATAAATGCCTTCATTATTACCATCTTTAGGAGGCCTGTGAAAGGCAGACAAAGTTGATTCAGAGGGCAATTATTGAAATTCAAAGTCTATGGATGATAACTGCAGAGTTTGGTTTCTGTGTTTTTTTCATCATTATTGAATAAATTATTTGGCAAGGGATTATTATATTGTGCTCTTCAAAGGAAACAGTTGTTTCAAGGTCTACCTTCTATTGTTCAAAGGCTTCGGAGATTTGCAGATTTAGTCAAGACACAGGTCTTGATTTGAAGGATGTTTCCAGTTTATGATTGGGAATTCTGCTCTGGCATGGGTCTACAGACAGGTGTTGATAAAAAAATGCATACTATTAATTGCTTTCTATTAAGGCTAGACTTAGTAAATGTGGGTTATAACAAAATACATACATATATATATCAGGACAAATATGCTAGTAATGTTGTTTAAACAGTCTATCATATAACCCATACTTTTTTGTCAGAACAAATGTGTTATGCATAATGCCATAAAAATAACGTACAAATGACATGTCAATCAAACACAGTATATAATGTAAAGGATCCAGGAAGTAGGTACAAGTGAAGTGTTGCTAGCAGTGCTGCTGTCAGCTTGGTAAATACACACAAATCAAGTATATGGAGGGACTGTTCAACATTGGTATGGTGGCAAAGTGCTTATTATACAATTATAGAGAGTCAGGTAACAGAAATAGATAGCAGAAGAATATTGGAGCATTTGAGTCAAGGACAATGATGCAAGAGCACATTGCTTATGTAAAAAAAATTACAATAGAAAGTCTCTTCCGTTAACTTTGACAAAGATGGCAGTGGTGGATTGTGCTGGGTACAATATGTTGTGGGTGTTTTAAAGCATACAGCAAGTTATCCAGTCAGCAGTTCCTGGGGAGGAGAAGTGCTTCACAGGCACGATATATGGGGGAAGTGTCAAAATGTACCACACAGTTGTGAGAATGTGATGATTTGTTGTGACATGTTCCCCCACCACCTGCCAAGTCTTCCATCTTAATAGCCATCAGATGTTAGCCACACATCATCACTGTAGACAGTTAACAACAGACTTGTACATGTACAACATGGAATGGTCACACAGAATTGTATTTATTCTCCTTTTTCTTCATCCGGGATGGTTGTATTTGATGCTTTGACTAAAAAATAAATGAATGCATAATACTCGACTGGGGCTTGGGTAATGTGACCAAAAAAAATTTGACAAAAAAATGTACATAAACTTTAATGTTGTATTTAACAAGTATTCAACATGGCCCAGACTATAATAGATTACTGAAGCTTTTGGTGACAGAATGAATACCTGTAAGACAAGTATTGGAATCATCAAAGTGTGCACGCCTGGTGTAACGTGTACTGTAGAGCTGTAGATGAGGTGTTCTATCACACCATCAAAACCAGGAGGACAGTACTCTTACCTTGACATCCATCACCACATCACTGCTCGCCATCTCGGCTCATCAACAAAAAATCCAACCAACTGGTCTTTCGCTTTCCACCTGATTGGTGTTCTTCAATTGCAATGTGACAGATGAGATATATTGGAGGTACAATACAAGATAGAAGCAGGATAATGGCAAGGGGGCGAAGACTTATATATATAATTACTCACGAAGATGTTCATTGCTGAAGAGTATAACCTGCAGTTATCCCAGGGGGCCTTATTCCTAGAAAAGGGGTGTAATGAGCTGTGAGCTTAATATATATGACCTAATGAGGATGCTTGCTGTAATAAAAGCACTACAAGAAATTTCAATAGTGTAACTGAAATTGATTCTTTTGGGAATTTCTGAAAAATGTCAAACAACTTCTGGCACCAGAATGGCACTATATAAGATCATACAGTGATTCATTGAGCAAAAACAAAGTTGCCTTTGATTTTGATTGCGCCAAGAGTACATTGCAAACAAGTATTGCACCAAGAGTTCTTCGCAAACAAGGATTGCGTCAAGAGTACATTTCAAACAAGGATTGCGCCAAGAGTACATTGCAAGCAAGGATTGCACCAAGAGTACATTGCAAACAAGGTCTGTGCCAAGAGTACATCAGAAAGAAGGATTGCACCAAGAGTACATTGCAAGCAAGGATTGCACCAAGAGTACATTGCAAACAAGGATTGTGCCAAGAGTACATTGCAAACAAGGTCTGTGCCAAGAGTACATCAGAAACAAGGATTGCACCAAGAGTACATACAAGTTAAAAGAAAGACTCAATGTTTCTTTGACAACTGACCTATTCTATTTTCCTAGTATTTGTGCATTTGGCTAGGTCACTAGATGTTTGTCTGTATTCCTTCAGAATTGAACAGGTCATTATCAGATCTAAAAAAAAAATCCCATTTTAATCTATTTTGCCGTCTCAAAACTGTCTGTAGCTCAGTGAAAAGAGTTCACATGTCTGTGGAGGTGTACATGTTCAGAAAAAAATCTGCCTCTCAGTTGAAGTCAACAAAGTGTTCTAGTCTCGTCTAGAATTGTGTTATTAGGTTTCTGGAGGTTAGGTTTCTGACATCCTCCATAAGATGACTTGTCAAGGCCTCAGGTCTATAAGGAAGTATGTATGGTAGTGCCTCCCTGCTGGCAACAGTATTGTTAGAGTTGTTGACAGTAATGTTTGGGTTGTTGACATTACTGTTGGGGTCATTGGCAGTAAGGTAAGGGTCATTTACAGATATGGTAACCATCAAACTTATTGATGGTATTGTTAAGGATACGGTAACCAAGGAAATTATTAACAGGTATTTTTATCGATACAATAACTTAAGGAACTTATTGACAGGTCACTTTCTAGTGTTCTATTTATAGGTGTATTATTTCCCACTAGGCTTTCAGTGCATAGATAATAATTAGACACTTGACTTGCCTCCCAGACAGATATTTATAGAAATACATGTTGGATCTTCTCATGTCTAGTAGCAGTAACTTAAGCACTCTGTGGGACCCAGGTCTTATGTTTACAAGGATTTATATCGCAAGGTAGTCATGTTTCTCATTTCCCTTGGGTGATTGTTGTCTATCGGCACTTTGGTTTTCTAGTCTATTTCAGTTCATTAGACTCACAGTAATAAATTGTATTTACTAGTTGATTACATTTCATTTCTGTATATTATCTTAAGTTCAACTGAGATGAGGATATAATTATAAAATATAATATGAGATGGCTATATAATGATTGTGTACTTATTGTGCATCTACATATTAAACCACAGAAGTGTTGGTTTACGTATGTTTAGATCAGTGTAGTTGTGAGTAAAGCTACTGTTTTGTGTAAGTCTGGTTTTAGCACCAGCTTTGTGGGTTAAAAGACACGGTTTACTCTAGGGAGATTGGCTGTTATGTTAGCCTCTATTTTGTCTTGTTGAGTTCAGAAATTAATGATAAAGTAATGAAGATGAATGGTCATTGTGAGTTGGTCCTAATAAGCTTCGATTGAAAACCCCCAACAGACCTATATCTTTTTAATCGGCTAATATTGTTGCCACTGTGAAGCAGTGGGAAACAAAGATAAATTGGTAAAAGTCATGTTTTGGAGAGAAACCCAGACGTGTGGTAATGTAGGTCAGTGGTAATTGGCTGAGTGTCCTGTTTGTGTGTGGGGAGACAGAAGCTGGGGGTAGTCAGAAAATGGTTCAGTGTCTTACACATATTTCTTAACAAGTAATTACTAATAGCAAATAGATTCAGTTCTGATGCTCTGTACAACCCTTGAACGTTGGTCTATTGAAATGTGTTCATTTTCCAGGGATATATTATGAAAATGTTATGAGTGATTTAATGTCAAATCATTGTATTTGCTGAACCTTATTTTCTGATTGTTGTCACATTTCTTTTATGAAAGTACAGCTACATATGAATTATAAACAGAGGCAAAATGTAGGGCACATTTCAGGAGGTCAAAGGTCAAGTCATGGTAGTGTTATTACAGACAATAACCTCTTTATCACTCTGGATCACTTCCTTATGAAACTTTATAGAAGTGCCTATCATGATGGTTGCATAACACGTACAGGTTCATATCAAAAAGGTCATGACAAAGGGCCAAGGTCAAATTATTATGATGCTTGTTTTGCTGGAATTTGGAGACCTGCTACTTTGTGGTGAGAATTATCTCACACAGATCAGAACAAGTAGTTCTGAATAACTGTTCTCTGTTGTTCGCCACATTTTATGATTTAGAATTGATTTAAGTTATGTAATAAAAAAATATTTCACAATTTCTTGTTGTTGTTTGAACTTTTGTTAGAAACAAACCATAAATCAGCTAATGACATGGAACATATTCTGGAACGTGACTGTTACCGTTTACGCTGCGTAACATAGGATTTAATATGTTTTGATATTTATAAGCTACATTATTAAGTGGAGTTGACATAACCATATTACTTCCGAAGTGTACATTATGTGTAGCTTACTTGAGAATGTGTGTATTGACTAGTGTTTGTTGTATTGGAGATGTGGTTTGTGAGGGATGATTATAATACATCACGCCAGTGTGTCGCCTATGACTGATGACCCTGATGGATAAACCAGCACCGTTCAATTTCATCTGTCATTGAGCTGGATTGGTGCTGGTATCTCAGAAAAGGGCCTTTCCATGTTCAATTAATACCTAAGTTCTGTTTTTCTAAGGATTACATGTTCTCAATTATTTTTTCAACTAGTTACAACTTTTCATTATCTCAACTCAACAATTTACTTTTAACTTTTTAAGGATGCCTTTTTTTGCACCATTAATTAAAAGTATTAAAGAACCAAAACATGTGTTTATTTTACAAAAATTTGAAGTCTTCTAGGTTAAAAATGAAAATAAAACATGCTTTACCTTATAATCCACTATTCTTTACAAATGTTAAAATTAAACTTTATTTATTTTACAACATTTGTGAAACAGGAGTTTGACAGAAAGTTTAAAAGGCATGATGAGTCAAAGGTCAAGGTCACTTACTGAAAATGAAACTTTACAGAAAATCACTTGTGATCACTTAAATAGCCATATTTCTTGACAGATTCCCTGAAACTCAATATTCGTTACCAGTCCAAAGATTAAGTCTATTGTTGCTTAAATATTCGTTACCAGTCCAAAGACCAAGGCTATTGTTGCTTAAAAATAGAATACACTTATTTTTTTGGCATATTACCTATGCGATGTAACTGAAATACATTTTACTGTTCCAGTTTCAAGCTAAAACTGTAGCTTGTGTACTTAACAAATTTGTTATCCATAGAAAATTATGATGTCTGTATTTTTTTTACAGAACCAGAGAAGCTTCTTGAGCCTATATTAGATAAACTAACGGACAAGACATCAGAGAAGGATAAAGTGCAGGAGAAAGTGTGTGAGGAGATCAAACCGCGTCCAACAGATATCATACCCAGCAAGCCTGCCATTTCTCGAAGGATCAGCATCCAAAATGGAGGATTGTAAGTAATCATTCTTGTCAAACAAAGAGTTGTGATTTGCAGTATATATTATAACAAGACTATACCAAGTCCAGTGTAATGGTCGGCAAGATCTGATGGTTATGTGTAATGGTCGGTAAGATCTGATGGTTATGTGTAATGGTCGGTAATATCTGTTGGTTATGTGTAATGGTCAGTAAGATCTGATGGTTATGTGTAATGGTCAGTAAGATCTGATGGTTATGTGTTATGGTCGGTAAGATCTGATGGTCCAGTGTAATGGTCAGTAAGATCTGATGGTTATGTTTAATGGTCGGTAAGATCTGATGGTTATGTGTAATGGTCAGTAAGATCTGTTGGTTATGTGAAATGGTCAGTAATATCTGATGGTTATGTGTAATGGTAAGTAAGATCTGTTGGTTATGTGTAATGGTCGGTAAGATCTGTTGGTTATGTGTAATGGTCGGTAAGATCTGTTGGTTATGTGTAATGGTCAGTAAGATCTGATGGTTATGTGTAATGGTCAGTAAGATCTGATGGTCCAGTGTAATGGTCAGTTAGATCTGTTGGACCAATTTAATGATAAGTTAGTAAATGTTTTCTGTGGTCAGTAAGATCCGATAGTCGAGAGAAATGGTTAATGATTTATTCTTTTGCCAAAAGAAAAACATGACTTGTACATTAAAATAATTACAGCTGACATTATTTTTGTACATGTGTGGTAATCTTGAACTTATAAAGTCATGTTACCTTTGGCCTGGGGATGACACATGTTTGACTTGTTAGTTTCTGTGAGGATATTGTTATTTCATTTTAGTCTCTTTACTACAGTTTTCCTGTTTCCAAAATAAAAATTACAAAATATTTTTATTTGGCATTAATGATTTGAAGGTTATTACTGTAAAGTTCCTTGATAAAGCCTAAAGCCTAACGAATAAAAGAGGAAAGGAGAATTAAATATCAATTGCAAAGGCGATCTTATGATGGTGGGAACCAAGATCCCTCAAGGCTCTCTGTTGTTCACGGATATGATATTGAGTTAAGATTTGATTGACATATATATCTGATGTGGGTTTCAACAATAACAACCATTCAGAAAATTGGATTGTATCAAGACTTCCGTTCTTTATGCAATTAATTCAGCAGAAATGAGTGCAATTGTTTTGCATAATACAGTGACCTAAAGATTTTTAGATAGGACTTTCACTGGTGCACTGTATGCTGGATTTGATTGGCAAAATCTGATCATTCATCAATGGGAAGGAATTTGTTTTGAGGATATAATGGTGACAATCTAATCTTGAGTGGGAAAAAAATCTTGCCTAACATTTTCAGGTGGGCTGGAATTTGTTTTGTAAATCTTGTGCTATTTATGTGTAAACATTTGAGGTGACAAAGATTAATCATGGGGGAGTTGACATGACTTGGCTGTGATTTAATGAGCTTCCAGTGGCTCTTTGTGGCCCGCTAATGGAAATGGAATATAGTTCACTTTATTTTCAGCAGGACTGTTTAGATAAACTAAGTCATTTTACCCATGTTTGAAGTTACAAAGTAGTTTTGAATTTATAAAAACATGATTAGATGGAGTTACTACCAAAAATGTGTAACATGATACATGTATCGGTGGTACATGTATCCTAAAAGTTATGGGACTGGTTGTTTTTAATTTGTAACTTTAGTTTAATGTGATAAAAATCTGAACATTTATTTGAAACCCTGTTGGTTTGACCTTGTTTGGGTGAATTGTTTTGTGACTGTTGACCTCTGTCCCTTCACCTTTACAGATAAGATGATCTCTTGTCTGTCAGTTATATGGTCTGATAGTCATCACTGACAAAATAGGATAATATTTACATTATCAGATATATATCTTATCTCTGATTCTCTCCTTATGCATAATATTTACCAGGACAAAATTTCTAAGATATCCTTTTTAAATGTGGATAGAGAATTATTATCATCAACTTAAAAAACACCTTCGATTATTGTTTATTTAGTGATAATGCAAGTGGAAGCATTTAAATTGTGGATGCGATAACTCCTAAATTCATAGCTTATCTCTGACTCGGGTTATTTCCTTTTGAAACAACAGACAAACGCACATTTTAAGCGAGTTTTAGATACGAAAAAGAAAATTGTGTAACTGTGCATGTCGGCTTTTCTGGTTACCTTCCAGGCCAAACAACACCGATATGTGATGTCCATTCCATGACAGGCTTCCAAAGAAAGTCTAACTCGACCAATCCAGATACTGGACTAGAGTAGAGTGCGTAGAGATAATAGGCTGCAATGTGTTGTCATTGACGGTATAGGATACCATACAGTGATTATAGATCAGGTTGTAAGAGTTGTCTCCCTCAGCTCAATTCTGAGTGAAAGAAAATTTTGGTGATTGGCATTAGCCTAGGTATAAACCAAGTGGCTTGTTTACCTCCTGTTTGTCTAGCCTTGTATAAAATGTCTCAAGGCCCTGCCTAAATCTGCCAACACTGACTACACAATCGCTTTTCATGTACCCTGTACATTTGATATATACTCCAACATGAATGAAACCTGGTATTTAATACTGTAAAGCAGTTCTATTGGAAAGTCAATAAATACTTGTTTGAATGGTATTGCATTACACTACATGAAGCAGGCAGCAAAGGGGTAGACTTCAATGAGAAACTCCTAACAATGGATAATGCTATGATAAATTCTGTTAACTTTCATCAGAAATATGAGACTCATTGTCATATAAAAAAAACAGAAGTATGAAAGCAATGTTACTTTCATTTGCACAGTAATTTAATATTGCATGAAAATTATTTTAACTATTTTTATGTTATGATTGTTTAAACCTGAATATGAAAAAGAAAAAATTAAAGGAAAAAACAAACATATACAAAACAAAAATCTGAATGAAATATTGATTAAATATTGATAAACAACAGTTACTAAAAGGTAACTGATCATGACATCAGATTAGAAGGGACCACATGAATATGCAATAATCTGAAATTGGAATTTTTTTTCCAAAATTTCATGCGAAAAAAAAAAAATGTTGGATGAATTGATACATAAAAAAGGGTGTTGCAAAACTAAGATTTATTGAATTCATTAGAGTTGGGAGGAATATGTGCATAAGAAAACTTCAGGAACCTAACCAATAATGTTCAACTGCAGAGATATAGCAGCAGGAGATTGTTGTACATTTATTGATGATGTCAATGACAGTTAGTGAAGAGATTTATACTGGAAAAACACTCATGCATTTTTTATGTAGGAGATATAAACAGCTCTCAAAATTGATTTGCTCTGCATTAATATTAGATTAAAGTGTCTACCCTTGGCTAATTCCTCTTCAATAGAGGTTTCTTGTCTCCATGTAAAAGCATTTCTGAGTTCTGCTAGATGCATTCTATGATCGGCTAGTCAAAAACGAAGTCTTGTCAGTCATCAGCAGCTCTGAGATCTCGCCTTTCAACATACACAGAGAAACATATATTAATTGACTTGTGGATGCAGGCAGATCTGGCCAGACTGTACCTGATAAGTAGTAGGTTCTGGGACATGTGTGAGATTTCAGCCTGCCATTATTTGATGTGGCCTGTCACCAATGGCCCTAAAAACAACTCGCCTCATTGAAGCATGGCAACACTCCAATAATGTCTGCTTGCTAGTTTAAAGTTGTTACGACATTTGTGTATTACCCTGCGAGATGTTATCCCAATCTGGGGCTGTTGATGCCCTTGTACACGAACAAACTTGTCATTTAGTGTGCCATATTTTCTATATTGGATTTTCATCATTCTTATATTGGACTCCAGAATATTTACAAATCAGAGCCAGACAAATGTCAAGAAAACAGCAAAGGACGGGTACCCATATGGCTGTTTCTTGGACAGATTTGATATCGTTGTACTTTGTGTAGCACATTGAGACAAAAAATCCTTGTACACTCTACATTATCATTATAATCTCTGTAATGAAGTAAGAGGGGTATGCTGGAATCTACTCGTGTTTTTGTTTGTGGATGAAAAACTTGTCTCGACAACTACTTCTTAACTGCTAAACCAATTTCAACTCAACTTTTTATGCATGTTTGGTGCGTTATGTAGTTACGCACTTCCTGTTTAAATTTTAGATTCAGCTTTTTTCTCGGGTCCAGTGCTCCTTCTGTACTTTCCACACCCTGTCCAAACACCCAGTTTTCTTCTGAACTATCTGATCAATCAAAATAAAACTGTGAGAGTTATATGTGGGGATCTACTTACATTGAACAGTCAACTTTAAATTGTTCGAAATTCAATATGGCCCGGTGCCCTCGGATTGGCTTAGACAATTACAGGCAGGTATAACTCAAGTTGTATTGTTCCAATTCTTTCAGAGAGTGAAACATCAGGATATAATTAATGTTGAACAATTGACTTTCAAGGTTTGGGATTCGTGATGACTGCTTTGGCCTCTGGGCTGTTTGGCAGATTTGAATTTTATCATTTGCTGTGTTTAATTTGCAACTGCTGGAATAGTACAAGATATATTTGAAACAGTTCCTAATATAGTCAGAACTTGTTGGTTTGACATAAATAATACACGATGGTCAAGTATGAGAATGCTTTTAATGATTCAGGTTACCAATGTCAAAGTCACTATTACTATTTATGGTAAATCATTGTCATCATTCAGGCTTTAGTTTTCATTAGGTTTAATCTAACTTAATACAGTAGTCAAGTATTAGAATATTTTGAAAGGGTTTGTGTTATGTTGTGTAAAGCTAAAGTCAAAATCTCAGTTTTTTTTAACTGTATATAAATTCTTTTTCACATGAGAAACTTTCTAAACTATCTTGAAGAACTTAAATGTGTACAGTCCACTGAAATTATTATCTGAGAATAAAGTTGCTAAAGTGACCCATAATTAGGTACTGTTAACTGGATGCAGGGACTGTCTCATTATGCTCGGTAACAGACTGCTGTGTAGGAGAGGGGTTTTATGTCGTTGTGATACTATGTTTCTTCATTCTAGTGTCACTGATAAAATGTTTGTTTTCATCTGATTTAAATTCTTTTCGAAAATTGTCAAATTATCTTCGGATTTTAGTACGATTGTATGAAGATAGTGGCTTTGCATGCTTGCTATTGTTTGCCAACCATGGAATAGTTTGCAATAGGCGATCTCCACAATAACAGTTTTAGACTTCAGTTGCTACTTCGGGATTCAAACGAATGTCTTTTACAAGACAGTGGATGTTTTTTGTGTGAGAGACTGTAATTCACAAACAAATGGATGGGTTTGGGTGATTGTGCTGTTGTGGCAGCTTGCTTGTTGCTGGTTAAATTAGCCATTCCTTTTTCTGTAGAATGAAAGGTTTGACTATTGTCATTCAGCATCTTCAGGGCTCAATGGATCGAAGGTCATTTACATAAACCAGTGTAATTTGTGGATGTTTAGTTTGTGTCTTGTCTCTTTAACTTAGAAGGGCAGTTCATCATATGCTGCTGGTATATGTATACAGGTCATGTTTGTATTGGAGAGACAATCTAGCATGTTGCAATGTAGTGGGATATATAGATTATTCAGTAATAGACCAACAGTTTATTATGTATACTGATATATACATGTACAATGTTCGAGCGACATTTGATCATGAGTATATAGGCTAAACCGGCCTTTAAGATCAAGGGGACAATTCATCATACTTTGCAGTCATTTTGTATGATGAATTGTCCATAGACAATAGTATTGATGTTAGTGATGCCATTACAACAGTATATCCCTGAAATACCTAGTGCATAGAACATAGAAAACACAAAAGAAAGATGATCCGGGGAAATTGATTTGATGAAAATGGTATAGTTCTGTTCATAGCACCTGCTTGAAAAATATGACTTTTAAAAAACCTGATGTGGGATAATTTTTAAAAATCATACTCTAACAGTATGTGCGATCTTGCAACTCAAATTGCTGTAAGACATGACTGAAATTCTGCTGTAATGTAATTTTGCTGTTAACTTGTACATCATATTTCGCATTCCTAATGAAATGGTCTGAGTTTTATCAATTTTGTAACAATATCACTTAAATCTGGGAATGAATCAGATCAACAATTACACACAAGTATGAAATTGCTCATTACTTTCTTTAGGTCACTGCTTTTCATTGTATTTTTTGCTGTTTTTCTGCTCCACTGGCGTTTTTACAGATTATCAAATATTTGGTGCTATAATTAAAGGGATGGAGAAGTGAAAGCATTGCTAGGGGCTAGCTTCTGTTGCCATGTTAATGATTGTGTCTATCACTATGACAATGGCTGTATTGATAATGGTCCTGAAACTCGGGGTTGGAAATCATTTATCATGTGGAGTAAATTGTCCCTCATGGGTAAAAAAAGCAAAATCCTTAGATATTACCCATCTAGAATTTTGATAAATCACATGGGATATAGTAAAGCATATGTTTGTGGTTTAATTAAGTACAGAATGTTTGACATTTTTATAACTCTGTTTCATAAAAAGCATTGTAAGGGATTATTGTTTATACATGTATAGAATGTTAAATGTTAAATCTTTAATGGTGATTCTGAAATGCTACAGCCATAAAGGAACTTTGACATAGATGCTGAACATTATAGAATCCTAAACTGGGCCAGGGATTTTTTTCTTTTTCTTATATTGATGAATATTTATATGATCCATATTTTCATCAAAATTTAAAACAAAAGTGGTTTGATGAAATTTTTGATAAAACATAATGCTATGATGTAGGTGTCTGGTGTAAATTGAATGTTAATTTGCTGATCAAATGTCATCAGTCGAAATCTGCCACGTTGAAAACCCCACACTGGGATCTGAAGATTGGCCGCCCTGTGGTAGTGTTATTGCCCCTTTCTGTCATACTGTTACAGTAAATGGCGAGCATTCATGTTCTGATATCAAATTCCAACTGTTAATTCCTAGATGGATTCTCATTGCCCTGCATTTGTCACCAGATAGAAATGCTCACCATAGAAATATTGACCTTGTTACTGCAAATGGCTGCTTCACCATTTGTTAAAGCAGTTATATTAAAAGATGCAAAATTCAGTCATTAAATATAACGCATGAAGTGATATTGTTGGATATATTAGTTCCCGATGGGCTGTAAAATGATACAAAAAAAACACCACACCCACACAATCCATTGAATACAATGTAGTTATGTCTATAATTACTTGTCTGTGTATCAGTCATGTTAGGTAACATATCAAATATTGAATCAAACACAAATGTGACTACTACATTTCTCCATCAGTTTCATCATTTGTTGAAAGTGTGCATACATAAGCTATATATAGACAATTAGTTGTATCAATAGTCAATACAGTAAGATAAATGATCACAAGGGCGATATGGATTAGGAGAGGATTCTGTACATTGAGGTGTAAGTATGGGAACCTTATTTTAGGAGTTCACCACATTGCATGAACAGGTATCGATTCCTACACAAGGCTTTCTGTCAATTTGGTCATAAAAGGGAAACGCATTGTGACCTCAATTGGCCAACATGTTGTCTTGCGCAGTTGGATTGGTTGACATCTTCTTTTCAAGAACAATATAAATACAATAGAAATTTCCTATTGTGCTCATGGGAATACTCAAAACACTGTCACCTATATATTTTAGTTTTTAAATAGAGGTTTGGCCTGGAGTAATGTTAGTTCTACTAATGATGGTGATAGTATTGTGTATCCTTTGTTCCACTGACAGTGTGACAATTTTACTATTGTTTATCCTTTGTGTTATTGATGCTAGTTGTGTTTTGTTTGTCCACACATTGGTAACAATTGTCTTATAACTGACTTTTGTGTATTTGACAGTGACATTGCTGATGATCTTGATGTCAGTGAAGACAGTGATGTGGAGAGGGTAAGTGTTTTTCAGTCATTACTGACAGGTATGGATCTGTGTTATACAAACACAAGTCGGTTTAAGAATGCATAATGTATTTAGTTCCTGTGTAGGGTGTACAATTCCAGTAGCCTAACAACTGGGGCAACTAAATTTTTAGGTCAGGGCAATTAAAAAAAAAAAAAAAAATACCATGAAATTATAGGTTAGGCTTGTAGAACTTTTCAAAATAGGGCTGTTGGCTAGTACTTTAATTAATGAAATTGCACACATTATGGTGATATAAGAAACGTAAATTTTGAATATTTATTACATGCAAAAAGCAATAAATTTCAAAATATGCAAGAAAAAAAGTATGATTTAAAAAATTGAAATATGGCTTACACATTTTGGAAGCTTACCAAAATGAATATGTATTGATTTATTAAGAAAATAATTTGTTGAGAGAGATATTTTAAATGTTTTTATTATAAGAATGTTGAAAATGGATGACGTTGAATTAGAACAAGATTAGTAGCACTGACGTACTTGTGAACCGTAAAAGTCCTTTAAAATATCCGTTATGATCATAAATCATGTAAGAAAACTATTTCCCAACTTGTTTTTGTATCAGATTTATGACTCTCTGCTGTCATATGTCTGCAGACTTGTTAAGACATAAAATATGACTGTCTGCTCCTGATGGGGTACAGAAACTGGCTTCAGGTCTAGACAGCCACATGATGGCAGCAGTAGACACGAGTAAAACATGGCCGTTCCAACACCACTTGCCAAAGCAGCAGACACTAAACGCACATTGTGCAAAAACACCAAATTGAAGTATCATTATTGATGATTGTTTTGACTTCTTACTACTTTTATGAATCTTGGGTTATTGTGTTCATAAAATGCTACCTAAACTCATTCAACCCTGAAGACACGTAAGAACGCTTCCAACTCAAAGGCTGGAATATTATGAAATTTCAGGGGTGAAGGAGTTAAGGTGAGGATAAATACCAATAGAAATTATCAGTTTATACATTGAAATAACATTCAGAGAATACTTCTTAAATCTGGATTACATCACCCACACAGTTGAAAGTCAGAAAATTTAAGTACATATTTAAGACTTATTTCCCCAAAAATAAGTTTCAATTAATTCAAAAACATTGTGTACAACATTGGTAAATGAGCAAACTCATTTTACTTGTGAGAATGTGAGAATGTAAGATTTTGCAAAGTGTTAGAAAAGTGCAGTTATCCTGGTGGAAATTGATACTTGTACCCATGAACTTGGAATCTAAAATGCTGAGGTTTCCGTACAATTCAAGTGCATCTTATCAAGGAATTCAATATGTTTCTCAAGCTTGTATGTTTATTGCACAGCTTTTAGTATCTGATCACAGATGTTTCTGATCAAATTCAAATTATATAAGCTTGTAATTGTCAGCTTGATGTGTTATATGTTTTAGTAGGTTTTATGTAGTCTGCTTTTTCCAGATCTGACTGTACCAGTTTACCTCTGTAAACCCTGGATTTATAATTTTATTTCTGTGGAAATTTCTGCTGGTGTACTGTCCTTGTGTACTTGTGAAGCGTGATATTTCTTCAAAACAGGATATGAAAGTTTTGATCTTAGCTAACAGGTGGCTCTTTATGTGAATTTATATGATTATAAAATTCGCTAGATTCCACTTAAAATCATATCACAAAATGCTGATACACTTTCCATTTGATAGCACTGAGGTTCCATTATTACAATTTCCATCTTTGAAATTGTCATCAAACTAGTAAGTCGTTTTTCTGTCAATGTTGTCATCAAAAGTGACATTACACTGGGACTTGGTCCTTGGGAAGTATTCTTGCTGAGGTATTAAATTTTTAAGAAGTGGTGCTATGTTACTGTACTTTGCCAGTGAATAAATGGCTTTCTTCTCCAAAACAAAAATTGGTCAGTTTCAAGTATGCATTTGTTTTCTTTTCTGACAAAATATTCTGAGGAATAAAGTGTCCTTATTTTCACAAGGTCACACACTATCAAAAGAAATATTAACCATGCAAGTTCAATGAAATATATAAATTCCTGAATCTGTACTTTCTATGAGAAACTTGTAAATTTTACAAGTTGCACTCGTATCCTCTTTGAGCAAGCATGTAAAAATATAGCAGTTCCATTTCACCTTCTAGCACTTCAACCAATTTTTTTGTGGAAACTACAAATTCTGTAGTTTTGATGTTAAATAACTGTTATATGATATGATTTGACGTAAAAGGTGTTCACTTGTCTTGAAAATTATCTTTCACCTGTGAACATCCTTATTGAACATCCTTGTTTGTCACCTCTGAACATCCTCATTGAACACCTGAACATCCTTGTTTGACACCTCTGAACAACCTCGTTGAACAACTGAACATCCACATTTAACACCTGAACATCCTTGCTTGACACCTGAACATCCTCATTGAACACCTGAACATCCACATTTAACACCTGAATATCCTCGTTGAACACCTGAACATTCTTGGTTGACACCTCTGAACATCCTCGTTGAACACCTGAACATCCTCGTTGAACACCTGAATATCCTTGTTTGACACCTCTGAACATCCTCATTGAACACCTGAACATCCTTGTTTCACACCTCTGAACATCCTTGTTGAACACCTTAACATGGTCATTAAAGAGGTGTGTCTTGTTTGTAGACTGTTATATGCTGCTTTGTGAACTTATTAGTGATCAGCTGATGAGCAATTGGTTTTCCCTTTTACGATAGAAAATATTTATTGACAATTTCAATAATCGAAATAATCGGTTCGTTATTAAATTCAAAGTGTCAACAAATGTGTACATTAATGGCCATTTATTCTTATGACTTTTACAATATGATTGACAAAACTGCAAACATACTATATGATTGACAAAACAGCGAACAAAGTTATCGCTTTATTCAAGTTTTTAATCCCATAGTTTAATTACAAACCGATTATTGATTATGATTTGATACCGATTGCCCATCAATAGTGAACTATTACTTTGTTTGTTCTCCGTATCTTGTGATATGATCTATTGTGGAATGCAAAAATGTCTTCAATTTATCAACAAGTGCTCATATCAAATAAAGCCTTCAATACACAAGTGTTTACTAGGAATAATGTCCCTTTTAAATGACAGAATCTGCTAAGAGGAATGATATATGTTCCTGTTTTTAAAGTTTGGCAAGTGTTTCATGAAAGTAATGAGTCAGAATTATGACTAATTTAAATGTACCAGACTCGACCCCAATTCTCCCAACAACTCAGCATTCTGTACTTACTCAACTACAGCAGACACAACGACATTTGAATTGTTGAGTTTCTCATCAACACACTGCTGAAAAGGTGTTGCAGAAACAAATTTGGTCCAGTATTGTTTCAGAACGGGAACAATTCTTTACAACTACCTGGACAAACTTGACTATCAATGAGTAACACTGACTTGTTGATGTCAGAGTAATGGAGGGGTTGATAGGATCAAGTCATTTCAACACATGGATTTCCTGTCAGAATCTTGGAGTTTCTCGGGAAGTCATAAATGAGGTGTGACATTGTTAGCGTCGATGTTGCACTAAATGGTAGATTATTAACTCATTCACCCCTGAAGACACATTTGAACTCTTCCGATTCAAAGGTTGGAGTAGTTCATTATAAAATTTCAGGGGTGAATGAGTTAAAGGGATGGGCAGGAGTTAGGTTTGTTCTAGATGTACATACATGGTATATACTGATGTCCTTGACTACATGTGTGATTACCTTATCAGACTTTATTTTGCCGCAGTTGGTGCATGAAATCAAACACAAGTAAGGAGTTAATCATTATGGTATCAAGTGATGGATGGATGCTTTTCAAATTTCAAAGCGTTTTATATATTTTTTCACTAGAAACAGGTTGTATATGGCGAGTAGGATGACTGTCAAAATTTCATCTCTCACAGGAAGTATTCAGCTTCTAGTGATGAAAGACATTTCAATTATATAATGCAAGTTGATACTTCAACAGGAGGGTCAAGGAGTGTATGCAAACTTTCAAAATATATAGGGCCAGGAAAATCAATGAATGACCAAATATAATAATACCTGTACCAACTAATTAAAATGAAGATGACAAATTCCTTGTGCACACAGTGTGAACTTTGAATGTGTATTCATGACAATTAGGTAGAGCTGTAGACTGCGACTGATTAGACATAAATGAGTGGGCTATATTGGGATGGGGAGTAAGAGGACCGGGATGAAGGTAAGACTTCCTGTAGAAATCAATAGTGCCTCCCATTAATACGTCACATCTGGCAGGCTTTGTGTATATCTGACATGGGAAAACAGCAAACTGTGATGGAATTGGTCTAGATCTCCCAAGACACCTTAAACGCATCGTTTTGCAGCACTGACATAATTTGTGAAGCCACAATGTATAGGCATTATGTGCGTAAACTTTTGTCTTGTTGGTAGCATGTTTTGGAAAAGAAACTGTTCTCAAGTCATAGGTTTACTGTCTAAATACTGGTAGTTAAGGCCATGTATTCTATAATCAACCGTTCCAAATTTTATTGAGTGAAAGAAATTGCTCTTGCTTCATACCTTGTAAATTTGACTTGAGTGGTGGCAATAACAATGATTGCAGTATAACACCAAACAAAATCTGTGAAGTGCTATCTTAATTTCTCAAAATTAAGACTCAGTTTTGAAAATGAAAATGCCAGGCTCTTAGTAGGAAATTTCATGTTTGCGTAGGAGGTTTAATGTGTGATTTGTGATTGAATGAATCACTGTCTGTGTACTAGTTAATAAATCGGAGCAGGAAAGAGTTGTGATAAATCTGTCAAAACGTGTTCCATTTGCTTTATTGATTTTGTTTATTTGGCTATTATGATTATAGGTTAGATGATGGATATTCTTCGACCTCCCCTCAGATATGTTTCATTGTTATGTATTCGTGTTTATAAAAAGATGAAGGAAAGAAAACAAAGTACATTGTCATACTATTCATTTAAAAAGGGGTATGG